CCTCTCTCTGCCTTCTAGACCACTCCTGGGCTCAGGAGAGTCTGGGGGCCAGAGAAAGAGTCTCTAAAGGTCCAGCCTTTCAGCAACATGTCTCAGCACCATGTATGTCAGGGACAGAGGCACCAGGTACTGTCACTTTCTTCACTTCATCAGATCTCAGCAACCCTAGTTGTGTGGTGGCTGTATCAACCCCATTTCACAGGAGAGAAAACTGAGGCAGAACTGACATACTCAGGACATAGAACTGGTAAGAGCAGTCAGATTCATCCCAGCCACATCGGACTCTGAGTCCAGTGCTCATTTTCCACCACCAAGTTTTTTCTCAAGGAGCAACAAACTCAAGGACCTGTCCCCTTTGCTCTATGTCCCTCTGATGGACTCTGTCTCCTGCTCTGTCCTGTCTACAGGAGCTTAGAGGGGGTGCCCAAGGCAAGATGGGATCAGAACAGATAGGGGCCTCTAGTTTCCACCCATACACCCTCCCAGCTGGGTCAGCCTCTGCAAGTCTATAAATTCCATTATTCATCAAGTGACTGTGTGAGTTTGCCTAGACGATGAATATTTTATTCACCTCCAGACACTGTCCCCAGAGGCTTCTTGGAACAATATGGTTCCCTAGCCAAGGAGCAGAGGTCAGAGCCTCTGCCCTTCCTGGACACCCCCTTCCCTTTGGCAGCCCCCTTCCTCCCCCAGCAGGCCCCCCAGCTTGGACAAGGCTATGTTTAGCAGTCCTAGATTGACCTTGAGCTTGGCACTTGTCCTCCCTCTACTTTGATAGCCTCTTCTGGACAGTGGGTTCATTTACTGCCTTGTCAGGCTCCCCATCCCTCCACGACAGCGCCCCATGGGGCTGGGCCCGGGGCTTTGCCAGGAGCTCTCCCTGGTGCTGAATGTGGGTGGCAGGAGAATGCTGGCCTCGGAGGAGCGGTTTCCAGCCAGCGAGGGCGGCAAGCCTGTGAGTTTTGATAGGAGAGGGCTCCAGGCTCTGGGAGGGAGGCACCCAGCCTCTGGACAGGGTGGTATCCACTTCTCTCCCCTTGCTTTCTGCCACTTGGTGGATTCTTATGGAATCACAGGTGGCTCACCTCTCCCAGTGACTCTAGCACACCGAGCCAAGGACTAGTGGGCAGTCTGTGGAGACCCCTCTGGAGTTGAGTCTCCCGATGGCACCCCAGGGAGTGTAGTGTGATGGCGTCAGCACCTCCCCAGATGGGGGAGCGACAGACATAATTCACACCCTGCAATCACGCCATCTGCTCCCCTGTGACGTGCAGAGGAGAGGACGGGGCTGTAATGCCGAAGGGCTGGTGGGTTGGTGGGTGATCATTCATTCATTCATTCTCTCATCCATTCATCCAGGAGATGTTCATCCAGCCCCTGCCAACTTCCCAAGCCCGACCCAGCCCTGTGCCAGGCACCAAATCTGGGGGTACAGATTCAGAGCCTGCCCTCCAGAGGTAGGGGTGGTCCTCTCACATTTTTGAGCTTTTGCTTACCCTGGCTTTTCCTCCTGGAGTTCCCTTGACTCATAGTAAGAGCTGTCATGTCCTGCGCACTGCAGGATCTAAGCCTTCCTTCTGGGAGCAAGATCTATGCCCATTTGACAGGTGAGTAAGCTGAGGCTCAGAGAGGTGAGTGTAGCCACCCAAAGGCATATGCCTGGCTCTGGGTTCTCCATGCAGAGTTTGTGGCGCCGCCTCACCCACCCCAAGTCCAAGACTTGTCTTTCAAGCTGGCTTCATGTCCTTCCTCTACAAAAGCTTCCCCCACACTGCCCTTCACCAGACGGTGAGCTGTCACCTCAACCATGCTGCTCAGCTCTCTGGTACTTGTTCTGTGAGGCCCAGGTACAAGCAGCAACCTCTCATCCTCTGACTCCTGGACTGACATGCTCGTAGGACCTCACACCCAGGGGCCGCCCAGTGGCCTGAGGTGCACAGTGGTGGAGGGCTGTGGAGGCCTAGGATAGTTCTCAGAGGAGGTCGCATTCCTCTGAGCCTGGAAGGATAAGATCAGAATGGCCCAGAGCCTGACACCTAAAGCCCTCACCCTGACCCCAACCCAGCTCCTGCCTTGGGCTCCAACCCCAGCCCTGCCTCACGATGGTGCATGACCCAACCTGGTCCCTAGGCAGGGGTCCCCTCAGTCATGAATGGAGGCAAGGACAAACTGCTTTCAGAGGTTTGGGGGATGCTGTTCTGGTTACATGCACAGCCCAGGGACAGGCAGACAGAGAAGCGAGAACACGTGCAGCCGGTGGCACGTGGGAGTCCCCTAGGCCTACAGTCAGCTCTATGGGCCATGGCTTTGCATCAGGGGAGAGACTCGGACCGGCCTGAGTCACCAGAGACGGGGTGGCAGGGATGGCCCAAGCAGTGGGGTGTACTGTGACCTTGAGGCTGTAAACCTCATCAGGTCTTGTCCCTTTGGCCTGGTGGGAGCCTGTCCCAGGGAGCAGCCTGGTCACAATATGTAGAACCTGACCCCTTGGCCACAGACTGGAGGGAGGCCTGTGTCTCCACAGATACTCATGCCCTCCCTCAGCGCAGACCCTCAGGGCCTGGCTGTGTTGGGTAGGCCCATTCACTCGATTTTTGTTGAATTTACTCACAGACCATTTCTGCCTTGAAAATTCTCCACTGCCCTGGCTGGGAGCTACAGGGGATGCAGCCGAAGCTGCCCCTCTATCAGGCGAGCGCCAACATGCTCTGCAGCAGCCTTTCTAGACACCACTGGGAGCTGGGTTCCCATCTGCCCCTTAGCAAGCTCCAGCCCAGCTTCCCGTGGCTTGGGGGTCCTGATTTAGGACTGGATGGCATGGGCTGGTGCAGCCTGGCCACTCAGTAGACAGAAGAGAGAGCTGCTGTAGCTCAAGCTCTCAATCAATACATAGCAGCTATAATTATTATTAATTCATATTCCTTGGGGGAATTTTCATGCTAATAGGAAACTCCCAAGAGGTACAGGGATGCACTGCCAGGCACCTCTCCCATGTTACATCATTCCATCCTCACCACTGCCTAAGAGGTGGCATTGCTACCCTCACTTCATGAGGGGGAAACCACGGGCCCACGAGGTTAAGGAAGGTGACTAAGGTCCCATGGCAAGGAGGTGGTAGATGCAGGAGCCCCACGTCTGCCTGGCTCTGAGTTCTGGGTTCTTTTCTTCCCCACTCCTCTGCTGCACCAGAAGATCCGAGGCAGCTCAAAACACTCTGCTCTGAAGGTGAATCGTCAGAGCGGGACAGGTGGATGAGGAGGGCTTTGGGGTAGGGCTTTCGGAGGCCTTTCCCACCCCAGCCCTCAGTTCTAACAGGCACTCAGCTGATCCATAGAGGCTGAGGAGACAGACAAATAGCTAGGGTCTTTCCTCCTCTGCGGGTTGTGGATGCTGTTGGGATCCCCCTCCAGACCCATGCCTGAGAAGTGCTGGAGCCCAGGCCTGGCCAGGCCCAGCTCAGCCAGGGCTGGCATCTCTTCCTGAGCCCCCTCTCCTCAGGCCCCAAGATAGGGCTGTGATTAATCAACGACAAAAGCAGAAACAAACAGAAAAATGTAATCAGCTCGGGAAGGGCAGGGCTGGGCAGGGCAGTGGCAATCAGCTTTCCTGCTGGGGCTGTTGACTGATTGAAGGTGGTTCCCACAGGGCCTCTAGGGGCAGGTCCTGAAGCTGGGGCCATGGAGAGGCCAGGGGGTCAACCCCTCCCCCATATATATGTACACACATCTGTGCACACATGCCCATGCGAGCGGCACTTGCCCATGGGCCCGTACACCACCCCCTGCCCACCCATGGGCTCCTGCCCAGAAGCTCCTGCCCTCCCTTCCCCTGCCAGCTCACAACCTTGGCACACATAGGTTTCCATACACACTCCCAACATGCACCCATCTGCGTGCGGACTCAAAAACACATGAACACACCCTTCTGGATAACAGATATATGCACGCACATGCTGCTCCCACAAACACCTGCCCCCTCACCCTGATGCACACACATGCCTTGGGGCCTGGGTGAGCCTTGCACACACATTAGGTCTAAGCAGGCATGTGCACTGACAGGTTCTCACACCAGTCCCTACAGGCACCCAGCCACCTCTCTGATCTTCAGTGCCCTGAGCTGGGGGTGAGGAGGGGCATGAGACAGACCCTTGGCAGCTCCCCAGGCAGAGTGGTGGGGGCTTGGAAAGGAGCCAGGCCTGGGGCTCCACTGTGGGGGGCAAGGTCAGCTGCCAAGTCTCAGCTACAGGGCAGGGGGAGCCTGCCCCAAGTCTGTCCCAAACTCCTGACTGCCACCAGCACCCTATGACCTTGGTCAACGCCCTGCTTTCTCAGCCTCGGTTTCCCCAACTTGGAGCCTCACCAGGCACCAACACCGTATGATTCTCCTCCAGGACCCGGGAGCCTGGGGCCCATCTCACCTCGCTGCCAGGTCTCTGGTCCTCAGTTTCCTGCTCTGTTCGTGGGGGGTAGGGGCGGGCCAAGGGGCAGGAAGGAAGGGCCCCACCCCCACCTTGGTCCCGTTGGCTGCGGACTTGGGCGAGAGACGAGTGATCCTCCGCGGGAGGAACAGGGAGCCCGGGGCCAAGGGGGGAAGGCGCCCGCGGCGGGCTCGGGGCGACCGCGCAGGGGCCGGCGGGGGGCGGGGGTGGAGAGCGCGGTGGGGGCGGGCGGCGGGCGGGGGAGGCGGGGAGCGCAGCCAGCGCGGCACAGAGCGGGCGAGCGAGCGAGCAGGGGAGGCGGCGAGACCTGAGCGGCGCCCGGGCGGCCGCGCCGGCGAGCGGACCAGCGGGCGGCGAGCAGCGCGGGGCGCGCGGGGCACCGGGGAGCGGGCGCGGCGGGCACCGCGCGGGCGGCCGGAGCCCAGGGGCCCGAGCGCCCCCGCCCCCGCCGCCCTGCGGGGCCCCGGCCGGGAGCCGGACGAGGGAGGGGGCGGCATGGACCGGCGGCCCGGGGCGCGGGGGCACTAGGCCCCCGGAGGGGCGCCCCCGCCTCGCCCCCGCCGCTGCCGCCGGGCCGCCCTCCGCAGCCGCGCGCCCCGCCCGCTCCAGCCGCCCCCGGGGCCGCCGCCGGCCCATGAGCCCCGACCTCAAAGTTTGCGGCGGGCGGGCGGGCGCGGAGCCTCCAAGATGCCGTTCCACCCGGTGACGGCGGCGTTGATGTACCGGGGCATCTACACCGTGCCCAACCTGCTGTCGGAGCAGCGCCCCGTGGACATCCCCGAGGACGAGCTGGAGGGTGAGTGCGCCGCCGGGCCCCCTGCCCGCTGGCCCTCCTACCTGTGCGCCCAGGTGGAGCGCGGAGCAGGGGCGCAGGGGGCGGGGGGCCGCCCGCAGGTGCCGGCTGCCAGGTGGGCGCTCCAGCGAGCAGCTGCGCGGGGAGTCAGGACCAGCTCGCACCTCTGGGTGCCGCGGTGGGCGCAGCCACGGCGGAGGGCGGCCGGGCCCCTGCCCGCAGGGTCCCCCGCGCTGCGGAAACTTGCCGAGCCCCGCAGCGGGGTCACGGGGCCGCGCAGACCGCGGTGACGGTGCGGCAACGCGGCGCTTGGGGCGGGGGTCCGAGCTGCGCCCCCCGCGCGGGCCGGGCCGGAGCACCCGCATCCTGATCCCCTCCGCGGCGCCCGCCTGCTGCTCTGCGCTCGAATTGACATTCCGCTCGTGTCGCTTTTAAAATCCAATCTGCTCCGGCAGCCAGAGAAGGGGAGAGGGCGACTGCCCTGCTCTTGCCGCCTGCGGGGCTGTCCCCAGTCTCTCCTGCGGCTTTCCCCACTTCCCCACAGCCCTGAGGGGACCCCCAACCCTGAGCGCTGGGAGGGCGGCCCAGGAGGTGGTGGCGACAACAAGTGGCCAGATTGGGCTGCTGGGTCGCGATAACCAAGCCCGGAAGGGAAAGGCAGAGGCTGGGACCCAATTCTATGTCCATCCCCCACCCCCCACCCCAGTCACTCTGCCTCTCACCGTGGATGGGGTAGGGAAGGGGCTAGGCAAGATCAGAGCAGAGGTCAGGGGCTGGGGGCTCTGGACGGAAGATTCTGGGGAGCATTGAGACCCCTAGGGCCTGCAAGCTCTTTCCCTCCTGGGCTGGGGGGTGGGTGCTCCGGCCTTTCATCCCCCAGATCTCCTAGGGCCCCATGTGGAGTGGAGTAAGGGTTCTGGGCAGATAGAAGTCTTGGACGCCTGCGATCTACTTGTCTGCTGTTGGGTGAGGGGCTAAGATCACCCAGAGGCTGTGCCTCTCTTCAGTTATCTTGGGTCCAAGGGTCTTTGGGGTCCAGGAGCTCATCGGAGCTTAGAGGGGTGCAATTGAGATACCAGTGCTGTCAGGGATGCTGATGGGAGCACAGGGGGAGGCATAGAGAGAGGTCCTCCCTCATCTCCAAGCCGTGGAGAGGGTAGATCTTGGGGGAGTCAGACTTGGTGAGGGGAAGATTAAGAGGGAGAAGGGAGCTGTCCTCCCAACACACACATACACACCTTGCACCATAGACTATGAGCCACCTGCTCCTCTCAAGTCCCCTGAAAGCCTCCAGAGGCTGGCAGAGCCACAGAGATGGGGTCTGGTGTTGGATACGGGCAGAACAGAGAGATGAGTGCTGCTGCTGGATCTCTGGCCTTGAATCCCAAAGCCCTAGCATCTGCCCTGTCTGTCCAGGGCCTGGGAAAAGGAAGAGATGCAATGGGAAACAAGAGAGCAGGGGATGGGACACAGGCCATGTCTTCCTCACTGTTGTCTCCTCCTGCCCTGGGCCGCCCCGAACCTCCTGCCAGTGTCTTCCTGCGTGAGCGCTCCTCTATCCCTTCCTCCTGGCCACTTGGGCAGGGGGCCATAGTGTCCCCCCCCCAAAACCCTTGCAGCTTCCACCTCATTCCCTGCCCTTGCTTCCACACCCCACCATGACTTTAGCAGCGAAGCTATGGGCCTGGCTGGGTCTCTCCTCTCCTGATCTCCCAGTCCCAGGGTGCAGACCCTGAGAAGCTGAGAAGAGGCTGGGATGCAGGGGTGAGTGGGCACAGGGAGGGCAGTGCAGGGGTAAGGAGGCCGCAGGCTCCTCTCAGGCCGCCTGGCCGACACACTGGCAGGAACCCAGCAGCGTTAGTCACCAGCCACACCAAACGCACTCCCAGCTTCTCTCCTGAGCAGGGGGATCCTGGCCCAGGGGAAATCTGAAGGGCAGGCCCTCCTTGGGGTGACCAGGTGGGGGTCGTGAGACAAGCAAATGTCTGGGGGGCCCCAGCCTATCTCCCAGCCCGTGGGCAACTGTAGATGAGGCAAGAAGTCCTCCACAACTGACCCCCTTCTTGGCTGTAGGCACCCCAAAAGCCCTCCTGGGACACCAAGTCTCTGCAGGCCCCGGTGGTCCTTGAGTGGGAAGAAGTAACCCCCCAGCCCCCCAGCCCCCCTGCCCAGTGCCCCTCATTCATGCTCCTGCCCCAGGGGTAGAGAGGCCCCAGGCCTTTGGCTGGGAGGACACCCACCCACCCTAGGGGGATCCACATGTTCAGAGAAGAGGATGCCCGGCGGCTCGGGATGAAATGCTGCAGACATGTACCTGCTGCAGATATCCAGGGGGCGGTTAATCTGAGGGGGAGAGGGACCAGTAAGGGAGGTGGAGAGCACAGGGTGTAGATGAGGACTTCCCAGCCAGGCAGCACCAGGTTCAAATCTCTACACCCTCAGCTCACAGAGTGACCTTGAACAATCATTTGCCTTTCTTGCCTCTGTTTCTCCATCTGTAAAAAGGGCCTGGCATTGCCCCTCCCCAGGGCTGCTGGTGACAGAGGGTACAATGGAGGTACTTGTCGAGGTGTCTGGCACACAGCAGGAGCTTGCAGACCCAGATGCAGCAGCAGGGGAGGCCAAGGAGGGGATTCTTGTAGGAGTAAGAGCCTGGAGTGTGGAGAGGATTGGTCAAGCTCTTGAGTTAGGGACCCAGGGTGTGCAGGGGGATGGGCCAAGCAGGCAGGATCGCCAAAGGCTGGGGAGAAGAGTCCTTGAAGGTCTGGCAAAGGCACCTGGGGACCTGTGGCCCTGGGGAACCGTCGGTGGTGGTTGGCAGGGTAGACGTGGCTGGGCAAAGCTGGCCTGGAGCCTGTCTGACCCCTGAGAAGGAGCGGCACAGGCTTTCCAGCTTCTCCCTGTCTCGCCCCACCCCCACCCCCCACCCCCGCCACAACATAGACCCCCAGCAGAGCCCCCCAGAGTCTGCAGGGGCACTGAGGCTGGCCCCAGTGTCATCAACAGACGTGAACACCTGAGGGTAGGAGTGGGGTGACTGCAAGCCTTAGCCCAGCCCTTTCTGGCCAGAGAGAAGAGGAAGGAGACAGACAGACAGACAGGCACACAGCCACCAGGGCAGGGTTCTGAGGCTGGCACCCGGCCTGCTCAGTCAGACAGTGGAGCCTGCATTGAGAGTGGCCAAATAGGGCACTCAGAGCATGGGGGGTGGGGGAGTCCCCCATCCTGCCCCTTTTCCCTGCAAGCCCAGCAGCTGCGTCTGCGCAGACCAGAAACTCAGGGATGCCAGAGTGGGGGGGCGCGGGGCCAGTGCCTCAGGGAATGGCAGCTGCTGCAGAGGACAGGCGCTGCCCCCCTTCCCGAGTGACCTCCAGAGTGTGCACCCCCTCTCTGGACTCCAGCCTCTTGCCAGAGTGCTGATACCCCCAGAGGCCTGCTGGGCTGCCTCAGGGTCTGTCACCTGCCCACAGTCTCCGGTACATTTCCTCAGGGCTTCCAGAAGAGGATTGGGGGCTCCGACTGAAGCAAGCATGGACTCTGGGGGCCACACCCAGCCCCTGTCGGGGGGGAGGGACAGCCTGGACCCCAGCTCATTGCAGGGAAGGGGACTAGCATCCACTGCAGGCGCCTGTGGGTCAAGGGTTTTGCCATCCCAACTTGACATCTAGTGGACCTCTACAGAGGAAGAAACTGAGGCACCCAGAAAGATGGGATCCTTGACCCTGGGTTCCTCCTCTCAAAATCAGCCTCTCACCCAGAAATCTGGGGATGGTACCCTCAACCCTGCCCTTGACTTGATTCTCCTCTTCTGTGGTGGCCCATAGTCTGGGTTGGTGTGGGGTCCTTGGGGGCTGGACAAGGGGACAAGCAGCATCCTCAGCTTCCCCTCATGCTTTTCGCCTGCTTACGAAGTGGAAAGCAAATGCTTACTCTTACTAGGATTGTTTGTAAACTAGTAGTAAATGGGCTCTGAATGATGGCCTCACACCAAGTGGTGCATGAACTTTTGCTCAGCTCTTTCCTCTGTGTGCTCCAGATGGGCGTGTTCCCTGAATCATTCATTCATTCATTTACTCACTAGTTGGGCAGATGTTTATGCTTGACAGACAGGCACTATTCCAGGTGATGGGGACCCAGCTGTGAACAAGACCTACCTGGCCCCTTCCCTCATGGCACTCGAGGTCGCAGTCCAACATGGTCAGTGCAAAGGAAGAGTGGGGTCTGTGGGATCCCAGAAGAAGGCCAGAGTTCTGGGGGGCAGGGAGGATACCCAGGGAGGTGATGCTGTCTATGCTGGGAACCTGAGATGCATCAGTTTGCTATGGTGAGAGGAAGAACTACCAGGCAAGGGAAGCCATATGATCAAAACTGTGGACATGGAGCAATCCTGGTGCTCACCACGGCTGAAAGGGCCCCTAGGGCTCGAGTTCAGGACACCTGAGGTGGGCAGAGCCTGGGGCTGGATCAGGAGGGCAACAGTTCTGGCCACACACCTAAGTGTGTGTGGTGGCAAAAGTGGCAGACCGTGTGCCTGGTCACATGGTCAGTGCCTTAGTCTCTACCTAAAGACTCCCAGCAATAGGACCCCTTTAGCAGCCTCCATGACTACCGGGCCTCCACTCATACACTTCCAGTGATGGGGAGCTTACCACCTTGTCAGTGGCCCACGAAAATGCTAGGTGGGAGTCGGCCTGGAGGGTCGAGTCCAGGGTTTATAGAAACCCTGGGGCCTGGCCCAGATCTCGCATGCCAGCTGCTTTCTGGCCTGGGAACCCCTGGTTAGACCAGATTCTCAGGCCCAGTCTAGGATGGTTGGAGAAGGTCCAGAGTCAGAGGGTCTGGGGGCTTAGGCAACTCAGCTGTAGCCCACTGTCTGTCTCTATCTTGGCCTACATGTCCTCTTGTCTAACCTCCAGGCCTTGGGTACAGATACCATGTAGGAAGAACCTGATGTAATTTGGGGCCTCAGCCTCAGCCACCTTGCCATGGTCCCCTAGTCTGCGATGGGGCCAGTGGAATCACGGAATAACTCCGTGGGTCAGTTTTAGGGATTCACACAACCTTAAGGCCAGGCTTGGGCCAGCCAGATTCCTGCTCTCACCAGAAACAGCCTTGACCCCAAACTGAGCCTGGGCTGGCTATTTTGCCTCTCCAGGCCTCAGTTTCCAGGCCTGCAGCGTGGAGCATTTATCTGTCTCTGCTTCCAAAATACACCCACACCCACATTCAGGGGCAGGATTGTGCTTGCTGAAGTCCCAGCCAGCGGGGATAGCTGAGGTGAAGGCCGGGAGGCCAGGAGGCTGGCAGGGGAACCGAACAAGGATGCCAGAGCAGGGAGGGTGTGAGTGGAGTGAGGTTCCCTTCTCCGCCAAAGGAAAGTGCTCTGTAGGGCTCTTCTGTGGCTGAGTGACCACGAAGGGACAGCAGGTAGAGGGAAGGGGAGCAGGGAGAGGTTCGGAACCCTCAGTGGTTCCTGGACATCTTTGGTAAAAGCCTTGCCATATGCACATCACTACTGAGCATTCTGCTGCGGGGGTCGGGGTCTGGCCCAAGGTCACTCACTGCTCCCAGCCCAGGCATTGATTTCTCTCCACCCAAGTCACCCAGGCCCTCAGGCCTCAGTCTCCTCCTCTGTAGGGTGCAGAGGACAGTCCCCACATCTGAGCAGGCCTGGGCTTGCTGGGGCCGGTCCATCCAGCTTCCGCCTTCCCCTAAACCTTGGGCTGGGGAAGCAGTCTCTGCATGGAGCTGTCGGCCTGTCAGCCCTGAGCTGGAGCTGGTGGTTGCCTCACCTGGTGCCATTAAGGAATGTTGGCTGGAGTTTGCAAGCGGAGCCCAGGGGAGCAAGCTTGCGATGGGGACGCGGGGGAGTGGGGGATGGAAGGAGGGAGGGGTGGACCGGGAAGCCTGTGGCAGGCACAGAGGCCTGGGGTGCCAGCCAGCAGCCAGCACAGTGGGACTCATGCTTACCCGCCACACGGGGTCGTCGTGAGCACGTCCTGAGAGGTTGTGGGAGCTTGGCACTCAGAGGAGACCCCTCCCCAGGGTGATTTCGTCAGTACTCAGTACACACCTTTGCTGCTTGCCTTGGCTAGTCCGAGCTCCCGGAAGGCAGCGCTATGGGGGGCACTTGGGCCGCCTGCCACTTGTCTCTGACCAGACCTGCAGGGTCTGTAGAGGATTCTCAATGCCGTGCCCAGGCTGTGGGGTCAGGGATCCTGGGGGCCTAGGGAGAGGGGTATTGGGATGGAGGTAAGGTCCCAACATGCTCTGCTCCCCCCACAGAGATCCGTGAAGCCTTCAAAGTCTTTGATCGCGATGGCAATGGCTTCATCTCCAAGCAGGAGCTGGGCACGGCCATGCGCTCCCTGGGCTACATGCCCAACGAGGTGGAGCTGGAAGTTATCATCCAGCGGCTGGACATGGATGGTGAGCACCACTCTCTGCTTCAGTTTCCTCACCCCTGACCTGGGCCTCTGAGGCTGAGCCCACCCTAAGCGTCTCCTTTCGGGCCACCCCAAGCCCGAGGCAGTATGCAGCCAGGTCTGGCCCCATTTCTTAGCCTGGAGAGTAGAGGCTAGAGTACGCCGCTGCCACCACACCCACACAGAGGCTCTGGCTCTCTCGCTCTGCATTCTGAGCAATTTTAAGATTTTAAGTCATCTCTACACCCCACATGGGGTTCAAACTTACAACCCCAAGACCAGGAGTTGTATGCTCTACTGACTGAGCCAGCGAGCTGCCCTCCGGAGCAATTTTTAAAGTACAGAAAAGTAGAAAGGATGTATTAAATATCCCAGGTCCCCTCACCCCAAATAAAAAATCATTTAGTCTTATTTGCCACCTGGCACTTTATTAAGGAAAACCTAGTAAAAAAAAAAGAAAAAGACCAGTCATGTCTGGTCCCCTCCCCCCCCACACCGCGGGCCTCCCACCCTGCCCCTCTCCACCCTGAGAGCAGGTAGTGGTCTGGGTAGATTGTGTCCCGTCTGTGCACTGAGAATGTCAGCCCCACAGTCCCCCACCCCCACCCCGGCGAAGGCAGTGGGTGCCGGGGAGCCACGTTTCTGAGTAAAATCTGAGGCTCTCCTGGACGCTCTGCCCACCTGCTGTGCTCCATCACCACTTTGGTCATATTTGGTGGCTTTAGCATCAGTCCAGAGCTTGGCAGATGTTAGGTGTCCCTGAAAATAACTCAAGGCTCGGAGAAGGTGGGACCTGCCCCAGGTACCAGTGGCCCAAGGTGGCCCGGGCCCCAGCCCCGTTGCAGGCTGGCCCCCTGATTGGACCTGTGCCTGCCCTAGGCGATGGCCAAGTGGACTTCGAGGAGTTTGTGACCCTCCTGGGACCCAAGCTTTCCACCTCGGGGATCCCAGAGAAGTTCCACGGCACTGACTTTGACACCGTCTTCTGGAAGGTATGCCCTGGCTGGTTTGGATTTAGGCTTGTGCACACTGTGGAGGGTTGTATAGGACCAGTGAATGGTCAGGGCCACACTGTAAAGGGGGCTGGCTATCCCAGGCTTCTCTCCCCACCCCCAGATGTCTTATCTCCCAGAGAAAGAGAAGTGGTTCCCAGTCCTCCAGAATCTGGAGGCCTGTCACTGAGCCTGGGTGGCTGCAGGGAACTGGGTGGTGGCAGTGGTGGTGGCAGTGGCCAAAGCACCATGTCTCCTCCCCCTCCAAGTGTGACATGCAGAAGCTGACGGTGGACGAGCTGAAGCGGCTGCTGTACGACACCTTCTGTGAGCACCTTTCCATGAAGGACATTGAGAACATCATCATGACGGAGGAGGAAAGCCACCTGGGCACAGCCGAGGAGTGCCCCGTGGACGTGGAGAGTGAGTGAACGACCCCTGGTGGCCCATGGGCAGGCCAACTGCTCGGGCAGGGGAGGAGGAACCAGGGTCTGCCGGGGGGACGGGGCGGGGGCCTGCTTGCCTGCCCCGGCCTCGTGTCCCTGCACGTCCCATGGGACAAGCCCATGTGCGGATGTGCAGGCGGCTCCTGATTCCATGCTTCGCTGTCCCCGTCTGTCTCTCCCTGGTGCTCCCTGGTGGGCGGCCACAGCCTGCTCCAACCAGCAGATCCGCCAGACGTGCGTGCGCAAGAGTCTGATCTGCGCCTTCGCCATCGCCTTCATCATCAGCGTCATGCTCATCGCAGCCAACCAGGTGCTGCGCAGCGGCATGAAGTAGGCACACGCGGTGCCTGGGGCCCTCTCCGCACCCACGGCCGCCTGCAGTCCTCTCCCTCTCAGCTCCCGGGGCCACCGCCGCCACGTGTACTCCAGGGCCTGGACGTCTGGCAACCCCACCCCACCCGCCCCTGCGGGCCCTTGCATGGAGCCATGGCCCGGCCGCGAGGGCCCGGTGGCGGCTGAGGTCACCCCGAGCCCCGCCCGCACCCTGCCCACCCTGGCCTGTATGTAGCACTAACTCTTCCCTCCTACTGTCCAGGAGCTCCTGGGAAACTTAGGAGGCATTCGTACAGGGTCTGGTAGCCGCTGTGGTCACTTAGGCAGGAGGAGCACCCTGTGCCCAGGGCCACACAGCCAACCTGACCCTGGTCCCTGAGATTTGCCCAGGGCTGTGGGCAGGGTAGAGATGGGGGCAGAAGGCTTCCTCCTAGAGAGGGGGTGAGGCTGAGGTCTCCTGGGCCCTACTCCCTGGCCCAGCCTGAGGAGGCCCTTGGCCTTCTGTGGGGTCCCTTTCTCTGACCCTCCTTAGACTCAAACCTAGCCTTCCTCCATGTGCCCATTGAGGCCCAGAGAATTTGCCCATTTCACAGATGAAGAGCCTGAGGCTCAGAGGGCCCCCAGATTCAGTATCCCCCTTCAACAGGGATTTTCAGGAAGGGCAAAAGCTCACAGCAGATGGGGCATCTGAGGTGGCCCTGCAGTCTCTGCACCTTCTGAGCCCCCCTGCCAGAGCCCCACTGGCCTGAGGCCCACCTTGCCCACGATTACCCAGCACAGAATCTAGAACTAGAGTACAGCGAGGAGGGAAGCAGACCACGGGCTTGGAGGCTGCACATTGCCTGAGCAGCCCGTGCAATCTCCTCATCAGCCAGGGGGCTCCTCCAGGACAGAAGCCTTGGGAGGGGCCCTGGGTCATGTTGGGCTAAGGGGCTGGTGTAGCCCAGGAAGCTCAGCCAGGCCACTCCCCAAGTCCAGGGCGTGTCCTTCCGGGTCCCCCAACTTCTCTACACTGTCCAGGCCAGAGACACAGCTCCTACCACGCCCCAGTTGTGCCATCTCACGTTCAGGCACCAGCTCAGCATGGGCAGACACAGGGACTGGGACAGCAGACGGAGTCCTCAAGCTCCTCTCTCAGATCTGGAGCTCCCTTTCACGGAGGTGACCATCTCAGCCACACTGGTGCACCCTGTGCCCAGCCGTGCTGAGCCTCTGCCAGCCCTCTGAGGAGAAGGGCAACAGCACTTCTCACCTAGCAGAGGACCTCATCTCAATCCCAGTCCTGCCTGTCCTCTGACCGGGGCCGGGGCATGGAGCTAAGGGCACCGGGCAAGGAGGAAGCCACACCACCATGGTGACAGACTTTCTTTATAAACATCCAGAAGGAAGTTTTATCACCCATCTTCTCAAGATGTCCCAAGAGGGAGGGAGGATGGAGCTGTCTGGAGCAGAGCTAGGACCAGGGCTATACCTGCTGGGGCGACTCTGGGGCCTCAGTCAAGCCAGGCCCAGCATGTGGTTTCAGAGGCTCCACAGGGGGCAGCAGGCAGGGGAGAGGCCCTTGGCATCCCCATTATGAGCCCTTATCTTTATTGTGACTGACACAAAAGCTGACCAGATGGGGGTCAAAGTGGGGATGAGGGGCTCAGCCCCACTGGACGCTGGGCTGCAGGGGCCACCCCCCGGGTGGGGGTGCCCGCAGGGATGGAGGCAGCTCCTGGACTGGTGGCCAGCCTATGGGGTACTGGAAGATGGTGCTTCTCATGGGTTCGGCCCTAGAGAGAAAGAGAAAGTCAGAAATTAGAATGGGGCCCTGCCCAGGCCCGGGCTGGGGCACCTCCCTCCAGCTCCCCCTCCCCACCACCCCAGCTACGGGAAAGGTCAGCTGCTTGCACGACCTTTCTGGAAGGCAGAGCCTCAAAAACATGCAGACCCTTTGAGCCAGTAACCTCACTTCTAGGAAGGAGCCCAAGTGAAATAGCAGGGTTGTGGGCAGAGACTGAGCTACAAGAAGCAGAAAAAGCCTGTGTCCACCTGTGGGGGACTGATTAAATAAATACACATGCACGTCCACAGCAAAGAATGCTATGCAGCCCGCATAAGAATGAAGGCAGACTTGTATGCACTGATAAGGAAGATGTCATGATGTACTGTGTGAGAGAAAAAGCAGCTTATAAAATAATGTATATAGCATGATACTATTTTTGTTTAAAGATATATAACATATATAAATGCATAAAAAAAAAACCTGGAAGACACAGCAAAATGTTAACAGTGGTTCTATCTGCGTGGTGTAATTATGGGTGGTTTTGTTTTTACTTCTTTATACTTTTCTTTTTTTTTTTTTCTTTATACTTTTCAAGAGAAGTTTTACAAGCACGCAAACTTTTGAAATCAGAAAAAAATATTGTCTAAAAATTTTTTAAAAGCCTCATTTCTCACGCTCCTCACTCTCCTTCACCTTGAGGTCTACCACCCTGGAGCTGCCACCTGGGAACCAGGGCCTGTTTGGGGCATGCAACCTGGGTGCCCAGCCAGGGGCCACCCTGTCCTGAGGCAGCCAGCTGGGGTACAGAGGCAGCTTCCTGCCCCCCAACTGCTCCACGGTCCAATGCTTCTGGACTTAATCCCCACTCAGTCTGCTGCTCCAGGGCTGTGTAGCCCCTCACAGGCTATGGTGCACTTTGAACTCACCTGAGAGCTCATGTCTCCCCTATGGGACTAGAGCTCTCACATGGAAGAGACCAGGGGTTAGGGGTGGTATCCATGTGTCCCCCAGTGCCTGGAGCCAGGCTTGGTACAGGGAGGCCACTGAGTGAATGTCTGCTGACGACAAGTAGCAACACTGAGCACTCTTACTGACACACCGCTCTGGGCCAGACACCACAGTCCAGAGAAACCTTAAGCACCCTCACATGAACCCCGTTTATAGGTGAGACAACTGAGGCACAAAGAGTCAGTCATAGGCCCAAGTGACAGATTCTGGGGTTTTGGGGGGGGGTAGGGGCTAACAGGCAACATATACAGGGGCTCCAGACATTGCCCCCCAATCCACAGGCCCAACTTTCAGTGGACGTGATGCCCTGGCAGCTCCAGGCAGGCTGGGATCCAATGGCCAGCCCTCTGCCAAGAGGGAAAGTCCTGGGTCCTCTGAAAGGTTTGGAGAGGCCTCGGGCCTCCGAGGTAGAGGTGGGGGGTGGGGTCAGGAGCCCCAAGGGTGTGCCTGGCTCAGCTTCTCGGCCCTGACCCCTCAGCCCTGTAGAGAGCCCAATGGAGGACTTCGGACAGTCTCCCGTTCTGGGAGTCCAGGGAAATCCCCTGCTTAGCTGCGAGCTGAGTGCTGGAGAGCGCAGAAGGCAGCTCCCAGCATGATTTATGGCGCTGGGGAGACTTCATAAACTCCACCAGCCGCAGAGAAGGGTGGGAGTGCGGGAAGCTCCACATTTACTGGAAGGGAGCGCCCTGGGGCTTCCCGCAGGGTTAAGGTGACTGCAATTCTCTGCAGAGAGGGTGAGCCTCTGACCCTTCTCTAGAAGATTGGGCAGACTCCAGGGCAGCTGGAGCCTCCCACCAGGATGAGGGCACCCCCTTCATGCGCTCAGACACAGACACATTCCCCGGGCCCCTGAGCTCTTGGAGCGCACCCCTCCAGCCCTGCACATAGCACAAGGGGACACCGAGGTGCACTGCGCGTGGCCTCTCTAGGGACCTGTTTGCCCCCCTGCACCAGGACAGGAGCAGCTCTCTTTTGCTTTTCCCCAGCCATGGTTCTGATGACAAGAAAAGTCTCAGGGAAGCATCTGGGCCAGAGCAATAGCGCCAGCCCAGAGAGGGGTACAAAAGGGGAGATTAAGAGGGATAAAGTCACAATCTGAAGAGCCAACAATGGAAAACAGGGATAAGCACTGGCCTTGCTGGGGGATTAGTCCGTGTGTCTGAGTCCAGCCTGTCCCTCTTGCCACTGTCTGTGTACTGTGCTGCGGGGGATGGGACAATGTGCTCGGCTGGAGCGTCACAGTCCCACATTTCCCTTTTTTACAAGGAGTGTTGGCCTGGCTCACCCTGAAGTCTTTGCTCAGCCTGTGGGGTTAGAGCCCCTGGGTCTAGGTGGCCCCACTGGACCAGGTAGCCATCTTCTCCTTGTCCCTCGGGGAGGAGACATACCCAGAGAAGAGGAGCTGCCACACTGGTCCCCACACGGGGTCCACAGCACCAACAGCTAGGGAATAGTCCTCCAGGCCGGGGACTCTGCTCCCCCAAATGCTCAGGTGCAGTCATTATGTCCTGAGCCTGCGCCAAGCCAGAATGACAACAATGTGAACTCAGTGCCATGGGGGGGGGGGGGCATCTTAGCTAATGCTTGAAGAATGAGTCTGACTTTGCCAGGCAGAGGTGGGGAGCCAATTCCAGTTCCAGGCAGAAGAAACAGTGTGTACGTGGTGTACAAAACTCAGAAGTGCCCACTGTATCCAAGAAGCCACCAGTGTCCAGTGGGGCTGACAGGCCAGATGTGAGAGGTGAGAAGGTGATTGCCTGGGATGGGGAGGTGGCAGGGAAGTGCCCTGGTGTCTGTGGAGCTGGGCTGCAGAGTCCAGAACCCCTGAGGCAGAGGAAGCCCAGAAGAGTTGGCGCAGGGCTTGGGGCCAGGGAAGGTTTTAGAAGCTGGATGGGGCTCCTGTGGAGAATGGATGGGAGGAGCATTAGGGAGGCCGATGGGGCAGCTGTGGCCTTCTGGAAAGCTGAGTGGGTGCAGGGCACAGAAGGAATGGTTTCTGCAGGGCTGCCTCCAGGGGAAGAGACTCAGGCAACAGAACAAAGCCGCCCTGGAGCTTGAATTCACCTCCCCCTTGAATCCCTGCAGGGGAGGGGCAGCCACAGGTGGATGGGCAGAGCCCGAAGCCCATGGGCTAGGGGTTCAGGGATTATTTTTTGTGAGACTGGCCTACTAGAGAGGACCGAGGAAGATGGAAGCAGTGATGGCAAAAGTAATGATAAATAGTCACCTCCCTTCCAACAACCTTTTACTCAAGGCCGGACAGGCCTACTCTGCCCAGAGAGCAATTCATTTTGGCTCTGAGTCCTCAGGAGGCAGGTGGAAAGGTACACAAGCACCGAGAACAAGTGGCTGCTGGGAAAAGCAGGTACTCCAGAAGGGGCCAGCTTGGGCGGTTAGAGGGTGAAGTGCACAAACAGGGCTGAGACTCCCTACAGTGGTCCCCAGTGGTAGGCTGTCTTCCAGAAATACATACTGCCATCCCAGCAGCTGGCTACTGCCACCACCACTGCAGACCTCCAGCTGGATGGGGCCCTTGGTGACAGAGGTAGCCCAGGGTCTAGACCAAGCAGGGGCTTAAGCTCTCTCTCTCAAGTGACAGCTCAGTGCTACCGAAGATAGCAGGTGGCCACAGTCTCCTGGAGGGGTTGAGATTCCTCAGCCATGCCAATTTAAGGGCACCAATCCCCTTAACTGCCCAGGGCCAAGGGCCAGGGTGCACCAGAGCACCAAACGCACCTCATCGTCATGTGCTAACCACCTCTACCTGAGACTCTGGGCCTGTCATTCAGCCTTAGTTTCTCCGCCTCATGCCCCAGTCCTCTGAGTCTCATGGTCACAGGTGTCCCGCACTGGATAGCACTGGGACACATCTGTCCCTAGGTGGGGACCTCTGGTCACCCACCTCTACCCACTCCTGCACTCAAGCCAACCCAGGCACTGGGTCTCCTGAGCCCTTGGGAAAAGCTCAGGAGCTGCCCAGGCTTCTGGTGCTCACTCCCAACAGAGGAACCACCAAGTCAGAGCAGGGAGGTGAGCAGGGGGCACAGCTGAGACCCACAGGTGGCCAGGCCCCAGCCATGGGAGAGTGGGGAAAGCCTTAGAACCCTCTGGGCGCCACCAGCCAGCCCCAGCCCTGTGACATACAGGCTGAGGGAAGCTGGTGCTTGGGACACGGTCCCTGGACAAGTCTCAAAGGGGGCACTCTCCTGACCAAAGTCACAGCCACCTCAGTCAGGACCAGAAGGGGGGGATGGAACTTTCCAACATGTATGTCTGTACTGTGTTTTTTTAAGGTAGGGAGACAAAAATGACACAGGTTTAAACGAAGCTAAAAAACAACTAAAATCTGGGGTGCTGAGGTGGCTCAGTTGGTTAAGTGTCGGACTCTTGATTTCAGCTAAGGTCATGATCTCAGAGTCCTGAGATTGAGCCCAGCACTGGGCTCTGTGCTGAATGTGGAGTCTGCTTAAGATTCTCTCTCTCTCTCTCCCTCTACCCCACCCACCCCAAGCTCACAACTCATGCTCCACCCCTACTCTCTCTCTCAAAAAATAAATAAAACTAAAAGTTAATTTTAAAATAGTTGAACAAAAAGCTCTCTTCATGGGGTCACAGAGAAGGCAGGAAACTTAGCTTCTACCTTCCAGTAGAGCTCAGAGGCAAGGCCTCACCCCCAACTGTCCAACCAGGCTCCCTGGGCCCAGGCCAGGCTGTTGTCGCATGAGACCACACCATAGAGACAATCGGGTCTGAATCCCCATTGCAAGACAGGCAAAGTGAGGGGCTGCCTGGGTGGCTCAGTGGTTGGGCGTCTGCCTTTGGCTCATGTCATGATCCCAAAGTCCTGGGATCGACCCCCACATAAGGCTCCCTGCTTAGTTGGGGAGTCTACTTCTCCCTCTCCCCTTCTCTATCCTATTAGTACTCTCTCATAAATAAATAACTAAATAAATCTTAGAAAAAAAAAAAAGGGCAAATTAAGGCAGCCCAGCACAGGCAACTTTACAGTCAGCTCACAAGCACATCCAGTAGTCCCTTTCCTCCCCTCTCCCTCCTTTGACACCTGGTGGAAGAAGCCCAGGAGCCCTGGGACAATAGGCAGCAACAAACCTGAGGGCCCCTGACCCAGGAAGCTCCACCCACTTCTAAGCATATTATATTTAGTGCAGGGCCCAGGTAATAGGTAGGCTGACCCAGCCCCAGCCCCCTCCTCAAGGAGGCAGTGAGACAATGGCAGTGAGCTGGTCACATCTATGAGCAATCCCAGCTCTGCCTCTTAGCCCTGTGCCCGTGGGCAACTCACATCGTCCTATGAGCCTCCCCTCCCCTTCTGCAGGGTCGGGGTAACCATGCCTATCTGGCAGGGCCCTAGAGGAGACAGCGCAGTGACTGGTACACTGAGGCTTCAGTAACCACAATCTGGCTGCTACCTCTAGCAATAGACTTGGTGATGTCGAGTCAAGTTGGCTTGGCCACCTGCCTCCCCTTTAGCCAGTACAAATGTCAGTTAAGGGAGGAACCACTAAGGCAAGGGGATGAGGCTTGGGAACAAGAACCTTTAAAGGAGTGCCCCTCAGCCTCTGGCCAGGGCCTGGGGACCCAAGACTCCCAGTGAAGCCCCTCTGAGGAGCTCTGTGGGGGCATCCTTGTCTGGCCCTGGGCAGGGCAGTTCAGCTTCCGGTGAGGGCAGGCTGGTTCTCCCAGAGGGCATAGGAGGCAGGGACCCAAGGGGCCTGTACCTGCTGCTCGGAGCTGAGCTCAGCCGCTTGGCTCTCTTTTCCAACCAGTCTTCCAGATGGCCCTCAGGGAGTTCGACAACATCTAGTGGCCACTCCCTGGCCCGCCTCTCCTCTGCGGAGACAGGGAAACAGAGGCATATGAGAGGCACATTCACCACCGCCCGACCCCACCCTCCCACAAAGCAGCCAGAACCTTCTTGGGGATGGGGGTACAAGTTGGGAGGGAAGGGGCAGAGAGCCTCTGGGCGGTCCCTACCATGCTGCTACCTTCCTAGGACTGCCTCTCTGGGCCTCGCTCTGCTTCCTCATTAAGTGAAAATAAAACACTAGCTGGCTCCCAAGCTTTTCGCAGTTGGACCCAAGAGAAAGCATTGTAGAGAGACTGGTCCGCAGGAGGGGCTCAAACCTGGGGGGGAATGTGGGCAGCAGAACAGGGCAGAGCAGGGTTTGAATCTTGGCTCTGCCACTTGCCAGCTCTCTGACCCTTGGTGGGGGAAGGAGCCTCAGCCTTCCTGGTTTTTCTTTTCATAAAATGTCCTATAAGAACCTCTTTGCTCACTTTAAAGTGAGCAAACAGCTCAAACAAGCCAGGTGTGAGATGGGTCAGAGTACCCGGGAAGACCTGGGATGGGGCCTGGGGCCAGAAGAAAACAATCATCCTTGGGGACCAACGAGGGGGCCGGGGCCTGGGCTGGCACTGCACACGTCATCCCACTTCATCTTTACAAGCAGTCACGTTCGTCAAATCAGGATCCTGCCTCCAAGAGGTTTAGCCATGTGCCAAGGTCACAGGGGATGTGGCAAAGCCAAGATGATCAGAGCTGCTGCTGGGGGCGGGGTACCCCTCTGCCCCCAGGCCCCTTGGGCCTCTCCCATCCCTGTGTCTCCCAGGCATCATCCGCAGCTATAGGCCCACTGGCCTATGCTCTCTCTGCCATGGCCAAATATTCCCCGAGAGCCCACGGCCAGTGAAGAACTGGAGATGCCACCACTGCCAGGACTCGCTGGCGAGGCCAATGGGGCCTCACTTCTGCCCTGGGAGAGCTCCTGGAAACCCTGTGTTTGTGCCAGAGCCGTGGCCGCATAGCCATTGGCTCCCCAGAGTAGGGCAGGGCGGGGCCTGAAGGTTGTGACTGGTCAGAGGGGAGTAAGGCCCACTGGGGGACAAGGACACCCACTGGCTGCCCTGAGGCCACCTGGACAGAGGGAAGAGTGGGCAGCAGCATCCTGGGAGGCCAGAATTGGCCTCTCACCTGCTGGGGGCTCATGGGAGGCCCTTCTGCTCTAGGCTGGCTTCTCTTCCTCCATCTGTTCAGTGAGGGGCTCCCTGAGATCAGCGAAGACCATCTAAGTGGAAATGTCCTTGGTTCTCTAACTAGGTAAGTGAGAAATGAAGTACCCAAAAGCAGACATGGCAGTTTCCAACGGGGAGCTACACTTGTTACAAGGCCTAAGAATTCTGTGGGCAGAGAAGGTATCCTCCTCATCTCCCCTTTGTCCCCAGAATGCGGTAGGGGATCTGCCTGGTGCCAAGGAAGGGCTCAAGATAGATGTTACCCAATGGAGGGAAGGAGGGAGGAGATGTATGAATGAGAAGGGCACAGATGAGGCTGAGGCACACCCTTCACGGCTCCTGGACAGGAAAGCCCCACATGTCACTTTAAACCCAGCAGGGAACACAGATGGAAGCTCCCCTGTTCCTTCTCCTCTTATACCTGTGCTGCAGTGGTTTGGAGGCATTCCTGACACACACCCCATCACCTGAGGCAGCCCTCAGCTTATCCCCACAAGGTGGCCACAAAGAGAAGGAGGTGGGGAGACACAGGGCAGCTTTGCGGCCCTATCCCCCCTGCAGCCCACTTCATGCCTACACCCAGGGTCCCCGCCCAAACACACCCTCCACCTGGATACTCAGTTCCTGCAGGTCTCTCTCTGACATGTGGGAAAATCTGCAGTTGGAGCCAAAGTCACACTGGCCTGCAACAGAAGACAGGGAAGATAGAGTTACTCACTGCTTGGAAGAGCTCCCACCATATGCTGAGGGGCACCCTGATGAGGGTATGAGCCTCTAGAATTACGGAGTAACAACCCCATCCCCAGAGAAAAACTTGGAATCTCTCTGGCCCCACCCACACAAGTAGCCAAAGCGGCCTGTCTGGTCACTCTGCCCTACTCTCAACCCTGGAATCAAATCCTGAAGCCTTCTATGATAGGGGTGTATAGGCCTCTGTAGGCTTGTCCATTGTCATTACTCTCTTGGCCCCTAGCTCCCGTTCCCCAGCCTCAACAAACCACAGGTAGGTCCCTGAAAGGGTCATGCTTCCTCTCTCTAATCCAGGCCATTGTACACGCTGTGCCCCTTGCCTGGTGCCCACCTGCCCATCTGGCTTGCATGAGCAGCTGGACTGCTCCCCAGAAAGGCTTTAATGGTAGCTTACCAAGGATGCACCAAAGCCTGGGGTGGCTTTCCCAATCTCAGCCTGGGAGACTAACACGTGTCTCAAAATAACAGAAGACTAGAGGTATCCTAAGCCAGCGTCACCTACCAGTGGTGTTTTCACATCCAAGTGAAGTCTGTTGGGGAAGCCCCTGACGTGCAGGCCTAATGACCAGTTTAGGGGCAGCCCCATCTCCTGAGGGGGGCATGGCCAGTCACTGGGCTTCCTTTGGCCAACAGCACTACCTCTCCCCACCGCCAAGCTCTCTTTCATAGCATGTTAATCACCATGGTCTCCTTTTTGCCTTGGCTGCCAGGAAGCTCAGGGCCAAATCCTTAGAGAATATACAGGAACTCAAAACAAGCATGGAGGAAACTAATCACTCTCTCAGCTTTGTCTTACTTTTTGTATCCTTATTTTCATCTGCTCTTGGTTCCTTCACTGACTGAGGTTTTTACGTGTTTGAACTACATGCACCTTTATTTGTGGATATTTAGCAGTCAAATCAACACTTGGCATCCTTGGTTCCAATTCTGAAGCTTCTTGTCAAACCCATTACCATCTCCAGCCTTGCCTGCTAGGAAGTAGGGCACAGTGGAGAAAGGGCTCCCAGGCTAACTTAATCAGCCAGTCGATCACACCTATCAGTGTCTCCTAGATTTGCCATCTCCCAGTGTTTACTTGTTTTGGGTGGGCCAATAAAATCACATTCTAGGTCTGAAGAGCTGAAGAACCAGGCCCTGGAAGTCCCAAGGCACAAACGTTGGGAAGGCCTCAAATGACATTAGTTGGCTAATGTACTAAGACCACAAAGTAGACTTAGGATGGTGGCTGGGGTAGGGCAGAGACTTCCTCAGAGGTCAAAGCAGGCCAGATAGGGCATGCTGATTCCTGGAGGAACCTGAAGTGAGTAGAACACTTTACCTGTCAGTAGAAACTTCCTGCAGGGCCGCTTGTTCTGCTCATCTAGCAAGATGGCAGCTGCATCTGCAAGAACAGAGTGTCTGGGTTCAGACTGCAGCAGCATACAGGCACTTCCTACCCCCAAAATCAGGAGAGGAAAGAGTTCCCATCCACAGAGGAGTGTAGGAGGGGATGACCACAGGTGGGGATGCTGGGCAGAAGCATCTGAGCTTTAGGTGACCTCAACCCCTCTCATTCCACCCAGACACAGCCAAAGGCAAGAACCAAGTTTTAGGTGTGAGGTTCTTGGCTTTGACCATGCAATGGAACCACCTGGATAGTTTTTTCATTTTTTAAAATCCTGGTACCATAGACAACTTCATACTGTCTTTGAAACTTCCTGTGAGTTTATAATTATGTCAATATAGAAAGCTAAGAAAAACCCTCTTGGTGCCCAGGAAGCCCATCAGAAAGCCCTGGGGCTCAGATGTCACTCCACAGCCAAGGCTGCAACCGGCTGCTCTCTGCTCTCTCCTTGCTCCCTGCGAGCTGCAGGCTCTTGGAGCCACAGCCAGGCCAGCCACCAGACCCCACAGGACTTCCCAGCAATCTTTCTGGATGCAAACTTTAACCCTGGTTTCCTCTGATTTTTCTGACCGTTATTTTCATCATATATTTATGGTTGAAGTTTTGTGTGCTTCTCAGTAGGTAAGGAACCAATCAGTCCAAATCTGTAAGACAGGAATGTGCCCTGACTCAGAGGCCCTGATGTCACCCTGGGGGCTTGGGCTGGACACATTCCCCATTGGTTCACTGCCTTTTCTAGAGGCTGCTGGAGTAAAGGAAATACCATGGGTTTCAGAGTTCAAGTACACTTGACCCCAGGCAAGCTGCTTAATCTCTCCAAGTCTCTGTTGCCCAGAGACTTGGGCATGTTAGTTGTTCCAATATGTAAAATGCGAGGAAAATCCTCCTCTGGTAGGGCTGCTGTGAAAACTGAGTAAGGTAATGGATGCAGAGCACTTGGCAGAGGTGGGTAGTGATTCTAAACCCTGATGGCTTGTTAGAATTGCCAGGAAAGTGGGGCCGGGAGCGGCTTCAGCATCACATTCCCCAGGTGACACTAATGTGAGGCCAGGGCTCAGAACCTGTCGTGGATGCGTAACAAACAGTGGCAGTTCTTATTTCATGTCCTCCTCACAAGCCTTCTGCACAGTGCAAATGTCCTCATTTTGCAGGGGGGAAAACAGAGTTCAAACAGGAGAAAGGGCACACAGTCAGGAAGTGGCAGTGCCAGGTTTGAATCCTGGTGTGTGACTCTAAAGCCCCTGCTCCTTCCCACGTAGTTGCTGGTCTCCTGGTGGCTGGGTACATGGCTGATTCTTAGGAGAGCTTCTCCCTTCCTCGCTTCCCCAGGCCAGGCAGCCAGTGGGGGTGGGCTGCTACGGTCAGGAGTTGGTTATCAGAGGACTCAGTCCGGGTGACCTGGTGCAGTGTGGGTGGGGCCAGCAGGGTAGGGGGTGCCCAACTGTTAGCACTGGGCCTGTCAGACTCACCCCGTCCAACTGGTGCCAGACCTTTCCAGGGGAGGCAGGCTGAAGGGGAGCATGTGAACATTACCCAGCCCCACCTCCATATCCCAGAGGTAGGACAGCTGAGTCTGGGTGGGGGTTTGAGCCTGAGTTGTTGCCAAGGCACCCTGGCTGGAGGACTCAGTGTGCAGAAAAATTCTAGGCTGCCCAGCATCTGGCCGGTGGTTCTTAACCCCAACCACGTGGCAGTATTACCAGGCAGCTTTTAAAATACAGGAATCCTCAGGCCCATCTTTCTCAGGTTCTGCTCTAATTCATCTGAGAGGGAGAGCATGAAAATTGTTCAAAGCTCCTCAATGACTCTGAAGGGCACCGAGTACTGAGAACCCAAACCCAGGGCCTCCATAAAGAAGGCATGCTCCTCCACCCAGCACTCAAGGCTCTTCGTGATCTGACTTCACTTGGTCCTTCTTGCTTCATCTCCCAAAATTAACAGCTGCCCTGGTGCCTGGTGTTTGTTTGTTCGCTCATTTAGATATTCATCTAACAAACATTTACTGAGCACGTCCTGTATGCCAGGCACCATGCCAGGATGAGGATTTAGTTGCGAATAAGTCAGACCTGCTTCTACCTTCCGGTCCAACAGTCACACTAAGCCATGTGGACATAAACACGGAACAGCTAACACACACCAAATGACCTGCCCTCACCCAGGGGTTAGAGAGGCCATCCTGAGGACACTTTGCCTGGGTTGAGTTCTGAGATGGAAGGGCGAGGCTGAGGGCAGGGAGGACAGCAGGAAGGGCATGCCCACCGAGGGGACAGTACCTGTAATGCCCAGAGTGGGTGGAGCTTGGAGGGCGAGGTGGGCAGGGCACGGAAGCCTACCTAAGACAGGGGTTCTGCCCAGAACACACTGTTGTAACTGGGGGTGAGGTTGCCTAGGAGAGGAGCCCTGTTTTATTCACCTGTAAGTCTTCGGAGCCTGCCTGGGAGCTGATGACATGCTAAGTGCTCACTGAAATAAAGGGCCTGAGGCCAATCCTTTTGTGGATGCACATTGTTCCTTAGGTGCCACAGAGTCATCATGAAAACACTGAGCCACTGTCACTCCCTGGGAGGTGGATACCGTTGTTGCAGCTGTTTTACAATTGGCAGAATTAGGGCCGCATTGTTAGTGAGGGACGCCGTGGGACAGGTAGCCAGTCAGCCCAGCTCCAGGCCTCATGCTTGTCCTGGCCATGGCAGAGGCATGGCCAGTCCCTCTGGGGGTTAGGGGACTCATAGAAGGCCATGACGCTGGGAGCAAAGTGGGTGTTGAGTCCTAGCCCAGGCTGGGGTACCACGTGCCTCCCCAAAGTCTGTGCGGTTTGCTCAGGTAAGCTGGAGCCCTGGGGAAGCCTCGTCAAGTGGAAAAAGCTCATATGCCACCTATGGGCCCAGGGTCAGTAAATCTACCTTTAAGTGGGATCTCCACCTACCCAGCTGCCTTGCGGAGCTGCCCTAAGGACTGAATGTGCCTGGGGATGTGTGAGGACACTAGGAATGCAGGGCCCTGGGAAGGGGCTTTTGGTACCCACTCTTTCATCTTTCCTTTAAGTAATATGATAGCCTCTACCAATCAGCCCTCGACCCAAAGACCACCTGTTCTCACCTGAGAATCTGGGGCTGGGGGCGAACACCAAGGTAATCTTGGGGCCTAGCTCCTGCCAAATCACAGTCCCCACTGGACTTGACGCGCAAGGAGCCTTTGCCTGAAACCAGAGACAGAGGCCTCCCAGGCACCTAGGAGACGCCTCCGCCACCGAATTCCCTTCTGTCCCCACTCTCAGCCCCTTGCAATCTCAGCCATGCCTGGCTTGCTGAGCAGCCTGGCCATCCTCCATACCCAAGCCTCTGAGCCTCAGCTTCCTCCTCAGAAAGGAGTCTGGGAGAGCTCTGAAAATACCGTGCCAAGGCCCCACCCAAACTTGCCTCTGGGGATGGGGTCAGGTGACCAGCGTTTTTATTTCAAGGTCTCCAGGTGATCCTAACTTGAAGGGTGGAGCTCTGCTTTAGGGAACTGCTGATAAAGCAAATGACAAACCACAAAAGTCTCCCAGCATGCAGCAGACACTCTATAAAATGTTCACTCCCTTCTGGTGAATTCTGAGTCTCAGACCAGGTGACTCTGTCTCCCCTTTTCCTCCCCTCTTGGCTGCTGAGACTCAGCTCTTTCCTTTTGCTCTGGGAATCCTGCTCCCCAACTCATGAAGCATTGGCCCTGCCCCAGTTCATTCTAGAAGCTCCAGGCCCACCCTGACCCAACCACCAAGCTTCCTTTCTGTTTCATTGGCTCCTGGCTGGCCAGCCAACATTTCCCTGGCTGTTCTTCAATGTCTATGTCTGATAACAGTAGGGCAGCAGCAGCAGCAGCTCCTTTGTAGTGAGCACCTCGAAGATGCCAGGCTCTGTGCTAGGTGCTTATGGCCTGAGCTCATTTGCTTTGGTAGCACCTCCTCTGAGAAACCTTTTCCGGAAAAGCCCTCCCTCAGGCAGCTCCATTATTCACCTGGCCAGCCAGTCATTCAACAGCCACTTACTGCACCCCATACGCACACAGCAGGCAGTCATCACTGTCAAATGTAGCTCTGGTCATGTTGGCCACTGCCTAAAGCCCTTCAAAGACTGTCCTCAGCCCTCACTCCGGGGACAAACTACCCTCCTTACTGTGGCCTCTGCAGACTTAACAATCTGGCCCCAGCCCTGCCACCACCTTCAGCCCCTACCACTCTCCTCTCCTGCTGTATCCAGCCATACCTTCTCTCCTCTTCTGGAAGAGCACCTGATACTTTGCTCATGGCCGCCTGCTTCTGCATACCCTCTGCCCCAAATGGTGTGGCTGGCTCTTCCCTATCTTTCCAACTGTTGGATCAAACAACATCTCCTTGGAAAAGCCTTCTTCCTGGCCACAGTATCCCCAGGGGATGGCAGAACAGCATCCTCCCCTGGGCCAAGATTACTGGGGCAGGAGCTCACATTCCAGCCTGCCCCTCTGAGGGCCCATCTGCCCCTAGGGGCCAGTGGCCCCACCCTTCTCTTTTTTGCTCCTCAAAGAGCCCAGACCCTGGCCCATGGCATTTCCTTGTCTGACAATAAGAAAGACTGGAGACCTGCCCTCCACTGGCCCCGCTGCCTAGCCAGCCAGCACTCACCTCGAAACATGTCATACCAGACCTTCTTGGCCTTGAGGTGCTGTAGCCCATTTAGGTGCTTCTTGCGGTTGTGGAGGTTGTCCTGGAAGGAGCGGTTGCAGTAGTCACAGAAGTAATGCTTCCCCATGGCCACCTACATCAGGTGCTGCAGCTGCCTGGGAACCCCAAAACACTCAGTCAAGGGTATGGAGGAAACACCCCACATCAATGCCCATGGTGATGAGGGAGCAGAAAGCAAGCTGAGGACAAAGCACAGGCTGACATCCCACAATGTCCACTCCCCCTAATCCCGGGTGGGATACATGTGACATGCCTTGGGCCCTTGTGGCTGCCCTACAACTAAGGGAAGGGAAAAACAAGTGGTGAATTGACAGAGATCATAGTCCTGTAGGACCTGAGTCTCCATCAGTTTACAAATATCTTAGTGATTTACAAGGAAAAATAGTTCTTTTTTTTTTTTTTAATGATTTTACTTATTTATTCATGAGAGACACAGAGACTCAGGCAGAGGGAGAAGCAGGATCCCCATGGGGAGCCCGATGCGGGACTCCATCCTGAGGCCATGGGATCATGCCCTGAGCCAAAGGCAGATGCTCACCAAAGACAGTGACCCAGAACCTCAGTGGGTGAGACCAAGGCCTCAGCATTTTTGCAAAGCTCCCCAGGGAATTCTCATATGCAGTGAGGCTGGGGAACCACAGCTTTACTGGCCACTTCCCCCCAGCCCCCACTCCACTTCTGATTTCTTCTCTCCTCATCTCTCCAATCTGGCCACATCAGTCTCATTTCTGCTCCTCACACACACCAGGCACACAGCCACCTCCTGTGTTTGCACCTGCTGGTCCCTCTGCCTGGATGCTCTTCCTTGCCACCCCAGCTCACCTGATTCCTTCAATCTTCACTTAAATACTATCTTCTTAGTATTCTCCTCTGACGGCTTTATGTAAAATTGCAGAACGCTGTACTTAGCTTTCCGCATTCCCTGCTTCATTTTTATCACCTTTGAAGTAATAAGTCACTTGATATGTTTATTACTTTTTCTCCCAACAGGAATATAAATCCATGCGGGCAGGGATATTTTTGTTTTGTTTACTGCTGAAGCTTCAAGTACTCAAAGTGGTGCAGGGTACAGAGTAGGTAACCATTACTTGTTGTGTAAATGGATTAATTCCCATTCTCCTATTCCCAATTTTTCTCTGACAACTGAGGTTCAGAGAAAGAAAGTGATTTGCCCAAGGTCACACAGCTGATAAGCAGAAGGCAAACTTAGATGCCCTAAAAATCCCCCTGCTGGGTGTCCTCTCTTCCATAGTGAGCTCAAAGCTTACAGAAGCCAGAGGGCTCAGACAGAAATGCAAACAGGTTCCCAAGGAGATTAGCTAAACTCTTAGGTGGCAGGTCCCCACCAATCAGAGAGGGAAATGAGAATGTTTCAGGGTGTTAAGCCTCTTAAGACCCTTCAGCCATGGTGACCACAGCTGCCATACCTGACCCAGGAGCTCTCCAGCCATAGGCAGGGGGCAATTCTATGAGTGTCAAGGCCAGCCCTGGGGTCCCCAGTTTGCTGACACAAGACTAGAAGATGAATGGGTCAAAACTGGGCTGTTAAGTGGGATCTGCAAAGGCTGAGCCCAGACCAGCCCCTTCACCCTTCAGATCCTATAATCTGATTCCCCACTTCCCAGAGCAGGTTCTTGAGGCTCAGAAGAGGAAGGGAAGTGACTTCCCCAAGCAACACTAGCAGCAAAAGCCTGACTCCCGGGACTTGTCAAATTAAAGATATGACCATGACCTGACCACAGGGCAGACGGATGGGAGAATGCATCTTGGCAAGAGGAGAAGGGGGAGAGAGACAGAGACAAACAAGCCTCCTGGACAGTTCAGGCAGCCAGGTGGGCCGATGGAGAAGGCTGTTCCTGTGGCACCAGGGACAGCAGCCATTAAGTCAAGGGCTGTAATGGGATCAGGAACAGACAGTCATTCAAAATGAAAATGTATAAAACCTCTCTTCTCCTATTACTGCTGAGAAACCGCATCCCAGACACACGGACTTGATATATTAAATTTGGCAGCTCTAATACAGCCCGTCTTGCCAATAAACTTATAGGAATTGGATTGAAATTGTAAGAGATGAACGTTTAACGGCCGAGTGCTTAACCAAGCCATTCACGAAGCCTGAAGCTCTGAGGAGCTGCTGGCTCTGGAGAGTAATGGGGAGGGGAGGGTGTCCCTCCAGGAGGCAGAGATGGAGCGGTGGCTCTGCAGCAGACTTAGCTGGACAAAACCACACAGGGCACTGGGAAGCCAGCCTTGTGACCTTGGAACTCTCTAGGCCTCTCTTCTCACTGCCGGAAGGTGAGACAATGGGTCTGACAGGTTCGCTGATTGGGGGGGCGGGGGGGGGAGCAGTACACAGAAGTTTGCTAATCCAAATGAACTGTTAATGAAAGAGTAATGCAAATACAAATGGCACAAATCATGTCCAGCACTGAGCAAGTGCTTAATAAATGTTTCCTACTATTTGATTTACCGAGTACCTACTACGTGCTGGCACAAGGCTAAAAGCTTTATAATGCATTATCTCATTTAATCCTCAGGACAACCTGTAAGGTAGGACCTACTACACCTTTTCAGATGAGGGCACTGAGGCTCTAAGAAGCAAAATGACTTCGCTGAGGTCAGAATGCTTGCTGGAAGGCAGCCAAGCTGGGTTCAGAATCCAGGCAGGATGGCTCTAGAGCCCACACCCCTAATCACTTACAAAAGTCTCCTCCTAACAAATCATACTGCTAACTGCTCTCCTTTTGAATCACTCACTAAACCCCTCAGACCACATGGCCCCTTCAAAACCCAAAACATATGGATTATAATCCCATTTGCGAAGAAGGTTTGAGGCTCAGAGGGATGCTGTGGGGTGTCCCAGGTCACACTTCCAGGAAAGACCGGGTAGGTCTCATGGTGTCCACACTTCCATCATCTGAGAAAGCCTCCATGAAGCTAAATGAGGAGCCCCTAGGCAGCGGATTCTGTGTATGTTCACATTTCCCCTTCTCTCTCACATGCACAAACTGCAGAGGACAAACCAGCCTCAGCGGAGAGGTGCAGTGGCAGTACCACCCTTTTGTATCGGGCAGAGCGGAGGTGCTCAGCTGTCTAGGCTGGCTCAATGGACCCCACGCCCTAGTCCCAGCTCTGCTAGATAAAGCTATGGCTCTGTCACTTGCCCACTCTTGGCCTCAGTCTCCCCACATGTGAAGCAGGAGGCAGGCAGCTAGACCAGGTGATCTCTAAGGGCCTCTCCAGATCCAGATTTAAATTCAGGTGCCACTTCTTTTTAATTCTGTGATCTTGGGCAATTACTTAACTTCTGGCTTCAGTTTCCTTCTATGAAAACTGGGGTAGTAACAGTGCCCACTTCAGGGATTGTTCTGAGAATCAGATCATCCACATATGGCCCCCAGGAGTCCCTCAAGAAACAATAGTCACCATCACCATCATTATTATTGGTCTCCAAAAGGCCCATATTTCAGAAAACTGAGGCTCAGAACAAGGAACAGGATGTCGGTGTCCAAGTGACCACTGGGGTCAGGTGGTCCATATACAGATGAGGAAAAGTGAGGCCAGGAAAGGGGAAGTGAGTTGCCCAAAGTACATAGCACAAGGCAGGGGTGGGACTGGAACGTTAGCCTTCACAACGGACCTGGATGCCTGCCCTGAACAGCAGCTCTGCCGAGCCCATACTGCCTGGGGATGGTGTCTGGAGAGCAGATAAGCTCCAGGGCAGCCAGTGCTTCCTACCCACCTAACGGGCCTATCCCCATGGAGGTAGAGGTCCTGGGCAGTTGGGCTTTAGCAAAGTGAGTGATCTCACCCAGGCAGCAGCCATGTGTGAACTTCCAGAGCTCCTGACCCAGCTGCTTCCCTCTCTAGTGCCTTGATGCACATTAGGAAAAGATGTGGGTGCAGAATCCTTCAGATGGATACAGTGCCCTGCCAGAGTTTATTTGGCAATTTGGCAAGCAGAGCATATTTCACTCCGACTCACCCCTCAGCCAGGTGTCCTTGCACAAGGCACAGCCTGCATCACCACACTTGGCAGCCCTGAGTGGGAGGTCAGGGAAGGGGGGTGGAGACAGCTGGACATCTCTGATGGTGCCCAGACACCAGCATGGGGTGCTAAGCTGGCCCGCTCTGCCATGATTCATCCTCATCCTCTGAGGCTGGTGTACTGGGCAGCACGTAAGCAAGGCCCTGTCCAATACAGAACCATCAAGCCGCACTCCCTTGCTGGGAACGCAGGCAGTGCCACCCACCCACTCTTAAGGACCAGGTCCATGTTTGCAACAGCATCTGCTGGCTCCCTGGAGCTTCACCAGGTGACAAGGTGGCTTCTCATGGCCAAAGGGCAGCAGGCAAGGCTAGTGGGATGGCCCTCTGGTGTCACACAGGTGTGGGTTTGAATCCCAGCTCTGCCACTTATCAGCTAGGTGACCTCTAGAAAGTTATTTCATCTCCCTGCATATGTCCTTAACTATAAAATAGGGATCCCACTGCTACTGTGGATTGACCAAGGCAGTAGTATATTAGGATGCCTACCACATAATTAGTGCTCAAAAAACAGAGGCTATAACTGCTGGTACTATGACCATCCAGGTGGCTCACTCCCTCGTCCTCCTGGTGAGCCTGCCCTGACCATCGGACTTAAAATTGTGGCCAAAGTGGCAGCTGCAGGCACTTTCATGCCCCCTTACAACCCACTGTTTTCCATAGCTCGTCTCACCTCACCTGCTGGTGTACTGTCATGTGCACTGCCTCCCCACTAGACTACAGGCTCCATGAAGGCAGAGAACTGTCCGCGACCGAGAATTCTGTCCATCCTGCTGCATCCCAGCACCAGGAACAGGGCCTCACACATGCAACTGCTTGTGGAAGGAGCAGCCCGCAGAACCCAAGGCCTCTCACCCTCTGCTCACCTACAGCTTCCAGACCCAGGCCCTCCTCTCAAGGGTGGATCTAGGGACCAGGATAAGGATGGAAGAGAAGAAAGACACATAAGACCCCAAATATGGGTCTCTCGCTGCCACCACTGCCCTCCCCACAGGACTTCTGTCTCCAGCAGAGCCCTGCTCTACGGACTTAAAACCACTGCCATCCT